CACTCATATGTTCCCCCGACTCCTCCAATAACTACTGATACGTCGTACGCAGGTTGCGGAGGAGCGTCGCTCCAGTGCGATGGATTTGATGCAGAACGACCCCGTGTTGATAGAGCGGGCCATGCTGGATGCTGGCGCGGCAGAGCAGGCAGCAGCTAAGGTGACTGCGATCGACGCGGCCAACACTCGTGCACTCCGCGCGTCGTTGCAAGCGCTGAAGCAGCACTGCAACAGCTCGATAGGGTGGACCACTTACCAGACAGCGCTCGCTGTAGCAGCCGGAGCGGGAGAGCACACGTGTACTGACACGAACGTGTGCCACCCCGGCCAGCGGTGCAAGCCCGTTGAGTCTGGCGGAGTGAGCCTTGCCGAGCGAGCCAACAGTCTCGGCATTCGGCACGAGACTTTCAGCGACGCACGGCGGCGGATGCACAACACGAACCACGACATCGCCCCCAAGATCGCTGCGAGTGAGGGATGCTACGAAAACAACGAGCGCAAGACACGGAATGACGTGACGAATCCCGGGAACAGAGGACGAGCAGGGGGAGGTGCAGGATACCTTTAGTCTTGTGTGGGCTACTAGTGTGGGGGTGCAGACAGACGATTTTGTGGTGGGAGCGGCCGGAGACAAGGTGTTGACGGCTAGGAAGTGGGTGGTAGACGAGTCCAGGGCAAGGAAATGGGCCGCCCCCAAGAAGTTCACCAGATCTTGGAAGTTGCGGGTTCGGGGCGCATCGTGCTACTGCTCGACTTGCCGAATAGGCTGCTACGATGACTGCATGGTAGCGAAGGTGTACCCCGACTTGGTTGGCGAGGCGATGGAGAAGTCGGGAAAAGAGAAGGTTGGGAGACGCACGCTTGGGACTCAATTGACCGGCGTTATTCTTCCGGTCATATCTTCGGACGAGTCCCCAGTGGCGCCTACGCTTGACGAGAGCATGGGGGAGGTGGGTGGGGGAGGGGAGAAGGAAGATGAGGGAGAGGAGGAGGACGATGAGGGGGAGGAGGAGGAGGAGGAGGAGGGGGAGGAGGAGGGGGAGCGGGAGGAAGCGCAATACGTAAGCTCAAGAGGTCGCGTAAGTATCGCGAAGAAGAGGTTCCCGGAGGTGGGCTAGGGATGGATGGATGTGTTGGCTGCCAACCACAAGAATGGAACTCGTCGACGTTTTTTGTTCTTCTTGCTTTTTCTGGTGTGGTGTCGAACGCAACGTTTGCAAGTATTATGCGCTACCCTTTACACTTGGTATCCCGTTTTGTCCCCGGGGGGGACACAAGTTTCGTGTACCCTGGTGGGAAGTAAAGTGTGCAAAAACTGTAGGGTTTGTTATACCGGAACAGCGGTCTGAACAGCGCATAAAATGGGCATGATATGGGGAAATCCCCGTTTTGTCCCCGGGGGGGGACATAAAA